AAGGGAGTTGTGGGAACACCTACTTGTAGTGAGTTCCTACAGACCATTTATTTAGCTCGGTTGTTGACTAGAAATAGCTGTTTTCAGGGGTAGTATAAAAGAATGATTTCAAGATTAAAAAAAAAATTACAGAGAATGAGGCCCAGGAATGGTGGCCTTTAATTCCAGCTCATGGAGGGCAGGGGCAGCCGATCTCTGTGAGTTTGAGGCCAGTCTGGTCTGCAGAGCGAGTTCCAGTACAGGCTCCAAAGCTACAAAGAGAAACCCTGCCTCGGAAACAAAACAAAGCAAAACAAAAAGACAAAAAAATCAACAAAAACACAAAAAGTCAATCTATGCTATAAATCTGTACAGCACCTTTTTACCAATGTGTGTTAGGATGGATGACTGGCCCTCAGTAGATAACTGATGATGTCCTGCTTTGGGTAAAAATGGCCAAATTCAAAGCTACTGATTGCAAAGTGTGCTGAAGGAAATGAAGTCGCCAAGAGGATGCAGAAAAAGGAGAACCTGCAGAAACACAAGGTATATGGATGAGTAAGACAGTGTGTTCAAATGTGTCTTTAGGATCTGGGGGCTTCATGTGTAACTTAATGGTAGAATGTTTTGCTAACATATAGGAAGCCCTGGGTTCTGTTTTCCTTTTTTTTTAATATTTATATTTTATGTATGAGTATTCTGCATGTATACCTGCATGCCAGAAAAGGGCATCAGATCCCATTACAGATGGTTGTGAGGCACTATGTGGTTGCTGGGAATTGAACTCAGAACCTCAGGAAGAGTATCTCTCTGAGCCGTCTCTCCAGCCCCACCCCTCCCCCCTTTTTTTTAAAGAAAAAAATTTGAGCTGGTTGTGGTGGCACATGCCTTTAATCCTAGCACTCAGAAGTCAGAGACAGGTGGATCTCTGTGAGTTTGAGGCCAGCAGGATCCACAGAGAGAGCTCCAGGACAGCCAGGGCTGTTACACAGAGAAACCCTGTCTTCAAAATTAGAAAAAAAGAAAAAAGAAAAGGATTTGAAGCAGTTCAGCTCATTTCCAAGTAGGTCATATTTCCCTTTGTTTGGATTCTGCTTCAAGGATGAAAAAAGAAACAAGAAGCAGGACATTTTCAGTTGCAGTTGTCAAGGTGTGAAAAGGAAGCAGTTTGTGAAAAGACATACAATTTAGCTGCAAGACAGATTCCAGATATTGTCAGCAGCAGCAGCAGCAGAGACAAGCAGGCAAGGGAAAACAAAAGCTACTAGTGGGAACAATACTTGTTTATGGCATCCATGATTGTAGAATTAAGACTTGATTGAGCAGGTACAATACCATTGTGGCTTATTCTGTGGAGTTGTAAGGAAAATGTTTTATCCCCTTGGTTGGCTTGGTTTTTTTAATCAAGTACCTTTTTTTTTTTTTTTTTTTTTTTTTGGTAGTAAAATGTCTCTCTGTCTCTGTCTTTCTGCCTCTCTCTGCCTCTCTCTGTCTGTCTATGTCTCTCTCTCTCTCTCTCTCTGTCTGTGTGTGTGCGTGTGTGTGTGTGTCTTTCTCTGTGTGTGTGTGTGTGTGTGTGTGTGTGTGTGTGTGTGTGTGTTACTCTCCCCTCTCTCCCTCTCCAGGGTTTCTCTATACAATAGTTCTGCCTGTCCTGAAACCCTACTTATACCAGGTTGACCTAGCTCACAGAGATACACTTGCCTCTAGGATTAAAGGTATGAACCATCACACTGGCTTGTGGTAGTAAAATTTGTAAAGGGAATGATACATGATCATCCTACCCAGGGCTTCAAAAATAGCTAACTTGGGGTACATAGCCACCAGAGGATAGAAACAAAAATACTTTGTTTTATCCTTATACAGATAGCCAGTGTTTTGAAAGATGGATTTTTTTTTTTCATTTCATCATGTCATTTATAGTTTCGTCTGTTTTAGAACTAGAATCAAAGCTGGGTGTGGTGGCATACACTGCTAATCTCAGGAGAACTGAGAGAGAGGACAGCTTGAGCTGTTTCGAAAAAAGGAGAAGGAGGAAAAGAAAGAGGAAGTAAAAGGAGGAAAAAGAAAGGAGGATGAAAAGTGCTAAAGATAAGGGACTAGAGCTCTATCTCAGTACAGTGCTTAGTTAGCATATGTGAAGCCCTGGGTTTCATTCCTAGTACCCTATAAACCCTGGGGGAGATGGGACACACTAGTAATCTAACCCTGGGGAGGTAGAGGCAGAAGGATCAGCGTTCAAGGTCATCCTTAGCTATACAGGCAGTATGAGACCACTAGGTCTATTTGAGACCTTGTCTTAAAAACCTAAAATAATAATAATAATAATAATAATAATAATAATAATAATAATAATGAATTTGCATGATAAGACCATTTGGCAGGTAAGGATGTTTGCTGCTAAGCTTGCTGACCTGAGCTTTATCCCAGGGACCCACAAGGTAGAAAGAGAGAACAGACTCTGTAAAGTTGCCCTCTGACCTCTGCTGGCACACCATTCATAAATAAGTAAATGTAATAAATTTAAAAATGAATAAAAACAACTAGACTTACAATTGCACAGCACTCTATCCTATACCCTATCTGCTGATTTTAATATTTCTTTCCTTTGTTGCTAAGTATTGAAACCCGGGCCTTCTTTCTATAGGCTGAGTATGTACTTTAATGTACTAAGCTATTTAAATCTCAGGCCCAACTGAATTTCTCTTTTTACCTAAAAAACAAAACAAAACAGGATCTCACAATGTTGCCTAGGCCTGCCTCAAATTTGCAATCCTCTTACCATAGGTTCTCCAGTAAGTCTAACTAAGAAACCAAAATGACTTTTATGTCTAGTTTTATTCTTACAACAGATTTGTCTATGTGATGAGTGTGATGTGTGCCCATTCAAAGGCTAGAGAAGGCTATCCAGTGTTGTGCTCTAGCATTCTCTGACTTATGTCTTCGAGCCTGGAACTGGGCTGGTGACCAGCAAACTCCAGTGATCGATCCTCTTAGCTCTGTTCTCCTATCCATAGTCAAGCATATGACCATGACTGGTTTTTTACATATGTGCTAGCATCTGAATTCAGGTTCTCATATCTGAGCAGCAAGTGACCTGTTATCCACTGAGCCATCTCTCTAGTGAGAGATAGTTATTTCAATTTTACAGTGAAGGAAACAGGTTCAGAAATTATATAATTTGGTCAGGGTCACATAGTGATGTAAGCATTGAGATAGTGTACTTGTACAGGAGTAGTTAGAAGCCAGCAGTTTGACTGCAGTCTCCCTTTTTAGCTATTGTATCACCATTTTATATTATGAAAGCTTTATGAAGATTAATTTTGTAGCAGCCAGTAGGAATACACACCTACTATTCCAGCAATCAGGATGCAGAGGTAGGAGCATCTCTGTGAGTTCAAGGCCAGCCTGGCATATGGTATACATATCAAGAATTCCAGGACAGCCATAGTTATATAGTGAGACCCTGTATCAAAAAATAAAATAAAATAAAAATAAATAAGAAATATGGCCAAGCCGGTCGTTGGTGGCGCATGCCTTTGATCCCAGCACTGGGAGGCAGAGGCAGGCAATCTCTGTGAGTTTGAGACCAGCTTGGTCTACAAGAGCGAGTTCCAGGAAGGACAGGTTCCAAAGCCACAGAGAAACCCTGTCTTGAAAAACCAAAAAAAAAAAAAAAAAAAAAAAAAAAAAAAAAAGAAAGAAAGAAATATGGCAACAAGAGGTCTTAGTGGGTAAAATCCTTGCTGCCAAGCCTTATGACCTAGGTTTGATCCCCTGGACCCATACAGAAGAAGGAGAGAAGGGATTCCTGTAAATTGTTCTCAGACCTGAACATGAGTGCTGTAGTACATGTATGCCTATGCACATATTTAAACACAGATACACACATTTAATTTAGAAAATATAAAGAGAAACCTTCCAATTCATTATCTTTGTTTAGTAATTAGTAAGTAACTGATACTAGTCTTACCAAGTGGTAATATGCCAGCATTCCCATCACTGAGAAGGCAGAGGCTGAGGGATTTTAAGTTTGAGGCCAGCCAGTGGTCCAGTGAGACCTTGTCTCAAACAAAACAAAGCAACAATAAGCAAAACCCCTTCCCCTCCTAAATCTTAAACAAATTTAGAGGAAAATTCCTGTATGTTTTATTTAGGTCAAATAAAAATGCCAGGTAATTTTGAGTTCACAAATAGCATTCCCTTAATTATTTTAACTATATTCTTATCTATTCTAAACTTTTTGTTTACTAGATTCTGTCTATTGTACCAGGCAAACCCACATTTCTTTTATGGAAAGACAGTGGTTTTCCTCAACAGCTCTGTGGATTCTGCTTCCTTTTAGTTTAAAGCAGAGAGGCTAACAAGCTAGCAACAAGCCTAAGCATTTATTTTTCCTCATAAACGCTAATGCAATTAAATCAAAACAATGAAATTGAGAGTTTGCCTGAGATATTTCCTACCATCCCAATCAACAGTCCTGTTTCTGGGATTTCTCTCTCCTTCCTTCCTGGCTTCCATTGGGAAATGCTTTGGGGAAGAAAGCAAGAAACCAAACAGCAGCAGGCAAATAAAGTAAGCTCTTTTCCGTTTACCCACCCTGATAGGTAGGGGAAGGGAGCAAGACCCTCATCAAAGAGAACTGAGGCTTAGGCGTGCCGTTCTAAAAAAGCTTTGTTATCTAGCACCTCCCACCTCCCCCTGAGCTCTGCAGTAATTCCTTGGAGATTGTATAGTCTCCGCTTTAAATATAAATATATATATAATACATATATTTAAAACTTCCTTGTCTTTCTCTCTCTCTTTTTTTTAATTTCCTATAATAAAGTTTCCTATTGGATAAGGTCAGCTCCCTGATTTATGCCTGGCTCCTATTGGAAGCTCGCAGGGGCTGACATCACTTAGGAAAGCTAGGGTAGGGCTGCCAGATCAGTTTGTCACCACCCAGGCTCCCTTGCCTTTGGCTGGGTGCAACTTCCATTTTAGGTGTTGGATCTGAGGGGAGAGAGAGAGAGAGAGAGAGAGAGAGAGAGAGAGAGAGAGCAGGAGGACGGGAGGGAGACAGAGACAGACACGGAGGGAGAGGGAAAGAGGCAGGAAAGATCCTGAAAGAGGAAGAGGAAGAGGTGGCCTGAACCTCGCTGGATTGTCTTTCACAGCACACCGGTGAAGCTTTGGGTTTGTGTCTTAAAGGATTGGCTTTAGAAGTCCACATTTGAGGTGTGTGTTCTTTTCATTTTTTCCTTTTATAAAAATGTGTGTATAACTAGTTGGGAAAAGGATAACCCAAGTAGAATTTTTGTCTTAATGGTAACTGGAGGGAATTTAAAAAAAGGCAAGAGAGCCTGTTAAAGCTGACGGTGAATTTTAGCCAGTTATTTTTTCTACTTTTAATGCTTTGGATGTATTTTGGTATTTTATTTATGTTAAGGAAAAGGTAAATGTACTGGACCTAATACCGGAAGCTGGTTTAGAACCGGGAGGTAGAAGTTGTGTAAATTACATTTTTGTGTGTACTTTTATTTCATTTTATTTTATTTTTCTGAATTAAGCTAACATACTTCTGTTTTCAGAGCTCAAAAAGTTGTTTTCTTGGCATGTTGTGTGTGGGTTGGGAAAGGAATTTGTCCTGGTCAGGAGAAAGTTGTATAGATGGCTCTTACCATGTTTCAAAACTTTCAGCCCCCTCACCTTTGAATCTGTGGCAGTGGAAAGTTGCAGGGAGCTTTAGAGCTTAAATAGTATTCATTGTTTTTTTCCTCCTGAGTTCGAACGGCCCAGATGCTTTTCAGCTCTGCTCTTCCTGGGTGGATCCCTTACTTTTCCAGGTGAGGTGGGTGGGAGGGAGCCTAGCCTGTTAGTAGGAACCCCTTTGCTTTGCCTTGAAAAACAAATGGATCTATGTTAACTGAATTGCCACCACTTTTTTTGTTTTTAAGCCTAAAAATACTTTTGATGGCAGAGATTTGTGAAGGTGTCGTGTGTTAGACCTGCAAATATGATAATGTTGGTGCTTTAAGGGGTAAGGAATTCTAACCATGCTTTCTGTTGACCAGAGGAAAGCGGCAGAACACCTGAGAGTCTTTTCAGCCCTCTTGGTTTCCAAAAGGGCTGTAGGTTGTGAATGATCAGACGAAAGGGAACCACTTAATGAAAACTTGAGTTTGCAAAACCCATTTGAGAAAGCACAAAGGGAATTTTATTTCTAAGCCAGTGGAAAGGTGATTTTTACAGTTGTCTTTTGTTTGTTTGGTTGGTTAACTTACCATTAAGTTAGAATCTGTTAGAGATAAAGGCCTATGACTGCTTCATGTTTTATAATTGGCCTTAAGATTTGTTTGGTTTTGCTTTTTGTACATACGTTCTTGCAAATGTGCTGATCCCAGATAATTATATAGCCTACTCATCAGTAGCTGCAAAATATGGTATTCTTTTAAAATGGGATTCAGTATGGAAATTTGGGCTGGTATAGATATTGCTCTAATTGTAGCAAGATGAGTCTTAATGTGTAAGCTGCTCATTACCTTTAAATTGATACGAATCTTCTGATTTCATAGTCCCTGCCCCCATTCTTTTTAGACTGGAACACTTCCTTGATTTTTTTCTACAGTGAAGACATTCCTTGCAAGATGATTTTGTCCTTGTGAGGTTTGTGGCTTATGGAGGAAACAACTTTTGTTCCCCTTTTCATATAGTTTAGGTGAGGGTTACAGGAAAAGATTTGACATCTAGACTTCAGAATTAAAAGAAGTAGTTGAAAAGAAAGAAAGAAGACAATGTGTACAGTCAGTTGGACCGTATTTCTCATTTCCAGTTCTTTAGTTTTCCTTTGAAATGCTTTTCTCGGGAGGTTTCTTGGTGGGGTCTTTGGAGGGTTGGTCTGTTGCTGCCAGAGTGTCGGTTTCTCGCTCAACCTTTAGGGGGAGGGATGAGAGTCTGAAGGAGGAGTACAAAGGCAGTTTGAAAATAGGTTCTGGATGACTGGTGGTGATCTGGGTCCGGCTTTGAAACTGGGCTTTGTGTAGCTAGGTTCAACAGCATTAGAAGCCAGGACTATTTTTACAAATTAAAGCATTGTTTGGCCTTCGGTGTAATTAATATAGAGCCTTTTGAGGTGATAAGATGGAAGATTTTTATCTTTTACTTCACCTCTGCTGGTTCTTTGAGGAATTATAGGAAAGGGTACAGATAAGTAATCTTCTATTTTGCTATTATTACTATTTGCTGTGCTTTGTATTTTGATTTTGGGGTGAAAATGATGACAGATGAGTATGAATAGTACAGATTTTCTTTCCTTGTTTGCTTTGTATATAATTTGCTTAGTTTCTTTGTTATGTGAGTGAGGTAGTGGTCTGTTTCAGGTGTGTGTGTGAGGCGTCTCATGGCTGGTTATAGTTCCAGTGCCTTTCTTAGGATTGCAGTATGAACAGCCAGAGGGGTCAGAACATGTTCTGTGTTGGTCTAAAATTGGGACTCTTGGAGATTTATTAAAAAAAAAAAAAAGAAAGAAAAGGAAAGCTTCATGTAATTACATCCCAGCCTTAGGTTTATCAAATAGTTGGCTTCTTAAGGATGGATGAGGCGGGATGCAGGCAAATAAATTTAGCTGGGTCACTATCAATTGCACTAGCAAAATATTTAGCTTTGTACAATTTCTAGTTTTCTATTATGGTCACCCTCTGTTAATACCTTATAGGTCCTCCTGTCCCTGACCCTCCCTCCCTCTCATTGTTTTGTGTGCTAAGTATTTTATATAGACTACCTAATTTCTAATAACCATTTTTTCTAAAAGAATTTGGTACTCAGAGCTGAGATTTACTGAACATCTCACTATCTAAATGGCTTAATCCTGGTCTGACTGACTACAAAGTCAGTGGATATAACCAGGGATACACTACCATTACCCAGAGAGAATGGACATAACAGCTGGAACTAAAATAAACGAAGCCTTGCTATAGTCGTTATTTAAACAGAGACCAAGTTGGAATGATATATGTAAAAGACCAGTTTCCTTAGAGAAAGCTAGACCTGAATGTACTGACATAGATATTGTTTTAGCTCTAAAAGCAGGGATCAAATCATATTCAGGCCACTGCTGTCCCACTATTCTCTCTTTTTCCTTCCTTTTGCAGTGCTGGGGCTTGAACTCAGGGTCTCACACAGCCTAGGGAAGTGCTCATCACCAGTCCTGCTTTATTCATTATTTATTTTGAGACAGGGTTTCTTTATGTAACCCCAGTTGTCCTTGAATTCTCTGTGTAGACTAGGCTCGCCTTGAACTCAAGAGACCTGCCTGCCTCTGCCTCCTTAGTTCTGGGACTAAAGGTGTGTATCACTATTGCCGGCTGCTTTATTCATTTTTAACTTTTGGGAATTGCCTCAACCTTCATTTGCTTATTAGTGAAACTTTCCCTTCCAGAGAATTTTCAGCTCTTTGGGTTGAATGATACCACCTTCTAATGACAGGCTTGTAGGAGGTAGTTCTAATAAATGTATTATTATGTTCCTAATAAGTATACCATACTATATTAAAAATTATGTCTTTCACTTTATAATGTGAACTGCTTGTGAGTAGGTACTGTCTTATCTCTATCCCTTATTACCTATCTCAGTGTCTGCTACAAACTGAGGTGCTCAATAAGTCTTGTTTAATTAAGGTACTTGATGGGAATTAGTGTCGACTTGAGTTAAGACAAGAAGCAAAACAACACTTTCATTGTGGCCTGTAGTTTAGTTCTTTTATTTATTCATTTATATTTTTGTTTACATTTATTTGTTTGTTTGTTTATTTTTGAGGCTGAGGTTTCTCTGTGTAGCTTTGGAGCCTATCCTGGCACTTGCTCTGTAGACCAGGCTGGCCTAGAACTCACAGAGATCTGCCTGCCTCTGCCTCCCAAGTGCTGAGATTAAAGGGTGTGCCACAAACCCCCGGCCTACATTTTTTTCATTGTGTGAATGGGGGAGGGGCAGGCACACTCTTTCCTTTGTGTGGATTCTAGGGATTGAACTCAAGTCCTTACACTTGGTGGCACATGCCTTTATCCACTGAGACATTTCACCAATCCTAACTTTTTTTTTGGGCGGGGTGTGGGGAGTGGGGGCTAGAGGGGGGGCTCTCTTTTGGCTGGGGTGGGCCCAAACAAAAATGTAGCTGAGGATCACCTTGTTTTTGTGACTGCTTCTAATTCCCCTGCCTCATCCTTCTGAATGCTGGTACACGTGTTATCACAGCTAGCTTCTAAACAGTTTCTGGAAATAGTGGAAGATTTTAAGGTTTAGCTTTTCTTAGCAATCAGTCTAAAAAACCGTAAGAAGGTGCATTTCATAGCTTAGGCAGCTGTTGCCTTCAGTCAGTGAAAACTTGCAACCTATCCATTTTCTGAGGAAAAATGTGGGCAGCAGCAAGGAAGGACATTTTCAGCTCTGGTTGGATCAGTGGTTTATATACCACTACTAACAAAACCACGAAGAGCTTGGGATGATAGTTTTAGACATGAGTGCTTCAAAGAAAATGTGTTTGATATCATTTTCTTCCTGCCCCAAGCCTCATTTTGAGACAGTCTCCTGAAACTTGGCCGATCTTTTTTTTTTTAATTTAATTTAATTTTTTTTATTTAGAGAATACTTTGTTAGTTTTTGTAATCAAACCCACGTAGATAAGACCTTACATATTTAATACATTGTGTTACCCCTGTACAAATGGAAAAAAAATAAGTTCAACATTTCTAGACCAATATGGCTGTTAATTTCTGTACAATGCCAACTCAACATGGTAAACTGGGATACTTTTTTCCAAAGTTGACAGCACAGCTAAAGTTTCCAAAAATTCAAGTTATATATGTATATATGTATATATATATGTCTATGTATTTATATAAAAAGACAATAATAGCAGTATGTTATGCATCAATAGCAGCAACAGCTTTTCCATATTCTGCAATCATCTGAACAAAATTGTGGAGACATCCAGCACACTCCAACTTGGCTGATCTTTAACTCCTGATATTTCTGTCTCTGCCTCCCGGGTGCTGGAATTACAGGAGTAGGCTACCACACCTAGTCTTTTATCATGTGTCCTTTTTTTGCTAGCCCTGTGTGTGTATATACAGGGCTAGCACAGGATAACACACACTGGAAGCAGTTCTCCTGCCTCAGTGTCACTTAGTGTTATGACCAGAATGTGAACTGTCACACTTGGCAGCCATTATTATTATCATGAT